AGCTCTGGGGGCACAGTGCCTAAGGCACCTGACTGCTAACCCCAAGGCTGGCGGTTCAAACCCACCAGCCACTCCTCGGAAGGAAGGTTGGGCAATCTATTTCCATAGTGATACCACCTCGGAAACCCAAGGAGGGGTCGCTATGAGTCGGGTCCGACTCAACGGCTGTGAGTTTTTTTTTTTACAATGCCATGGTAGGACCGAGTCGTTCTTAGAATAACATACCGAGTCATTTTACCGCAAAGGCACACCTTTGTGATCTCTGGTAAGCACAGTGCATTGGGACGTGCCACCTTTCTGAGAATTTCTGATTGTTTTTCTCATCCTTTTGTCCGCAGGCCTCAGAGGAGCTCCGGGATACTCCTTGGATCAAGCCCACCATCTTCCCATTGAAATGGACCCACTCATTGGTACGTCAGGCACCAAAATACATCTTTATGGATTCTGACGGTCCACAGAGCTGTGTGTGGTCGTTCTCCCAGAAGACCGTTGATTCCACCACAGAATTAACGTGTAAATAACTGCAAACGCCCTGACAGAGCGGGCATGTCACGACGCTCTGTCTGAGGACGTGCTGGTTGGAAGCGGTTGTCCCTGGCTCTTTGCTGATGTTTGAGGAGCCGCTGAAGCTGGTTGTCAACAAGCCAAAGCGTTCCTGACCGTCCTTCCTTTCAGCCTAAATACTCATTAACAATTCTGTGTTAGTCAGAATTCAAGGCTGTTGGGGGACGGGTGGAGGTGAGGGCACTGGTCCCGTCAAAGGCCTTTGTCTGTCAGACTGATGCTGAAGTTCGTCCCTTCTGGAAACTTCCAGTCAGTTGGTGGGAGCACCTTCAATGAAGGGTCTCCCCTCCAGTGCAGACCCCGGACCCGTAACGCCCTGGAGCGGCCACAGCGACCCAGGCACACGCCTGCGTCTTGCTGGGGCTGTTTCATACCTGCAAGGTGGTTTCTAATGATGTTCATTGAACCTGTCCCATGGGATTAACTAGAGAACCGAGTCAGAAAAAAATCATTGACAACGCTCAGGAAAAGCGTCAGGCCGTGCACGATGTCTGATGTCTGGTTAGATGAGTTCAGCCTCCAGCCTCAGCCCAGAAATGTGAGCAGATGCCGCCATCTCAGTCCCCTCCTTAGTCCGTGCACAGTAGCAGCTCAGGCATTTCAGGGCACGCAGGGTCAGGCTCAGGGTCAGACATCAGGTTCAGTCAAACGCTTCCTCTGCCAGGCAGACCCCAGGAATGCCCCCTGCAGCTGGTGGGTAGCCGTGGACAGTCAGTGGTCACATTCTGACGTTCAAGGGGGGTCTGTAGTTTGGGTGGTTTTTTTTTTTTTTTAATTGTTGTATTTTAGGGGGAAGTTTAGAGTAAATTCCTTCCCACAGGGGACTTGGTGCCTGGAGTGACATGACTTGTTGCACGCCCCACACTGGGTCAGCTTGCTCCCCATTTCTGCCCTGGGTTCCCCATTTTCTTTCGTCTGGATTTTCTACCCCTTCCCACCCTCTCATCTCTGCTTTTCGGCAAATGGCCCCTCAACCTCATGTAACTGTTCTGAGGAACACGTTCCTCTCGGGTGTTACTGTTTATTTTATGGGCTATCTCTTGTTTAGCTGAAAGGTGGTCTCCGGGAGTGGCTTCAGGTCCAGGTCAGAAGGGTACCTTAGGGCCACAGTCTAAGGGTCCCCCAGGCTCTGTCTGACCAGATAGTCTGCTCTGTTTTGTGAATGTGGGATTTGGTCCTGCATTTCCTCCCCCTGTGTCCGGGACCCTCTCTTGTGATCCCGGTCAGAGGTAGGACGTGCAGGGTTTGAGTGGCCCGGGACCTTCACTCGGTCACCTTGATTATCACCTGCCCTCTCTCGTCCTTATCGTTGTGGGCTCGGTACCCACAGAGAGTGTCGTGGGCTCGGTACCCACAGAGGGTGTCGTGGGCTCGGCACCTGCCTACAGAGGGTGTCGTGGGCTTGGTATGTACCCACGGAGGGTGTCATAGGCTTACCACATACCTACAGAGGGTGTCGTGGGTTTGGCACATGCCCATAAAGGGTGTCATAGGCTTGGCACGTGCCCACAGAGGGTGTCGTGGGCTCGGCACGTGCCCACAGAGGGTGTCGTGGGCTCAGTACCCACAGAGGGTGTCGTGGGCTTGGCACGTGCCCACAGAGGGTGTCGTGGGCTCAGCACGTGCCCACAGAGGGTGTCGTGGGCTTGGCACGTGCC